ATCACCTCTATTTCTATAATATGTTTTCCATTCTATCAAATGAGACCAAGAAAACGAGAATGCAACCATAAATACTATACAAAAATAGACAAAGGAGAGGGCAGCATGCAACAGCTTTTAGGCACTTATTACAAATCAATAGTTACCTGATCAAGATCTTCACCATACATAATAGAACTCTAACAGTGAGAAAGAGTGGAAAAGTATTAGCGTCAAACATCAAAAAGATTTACGAACATACAGGTATTTGAATTAAAACAAAACAAAACAAAAACGGTCAGTTTTTTTCCTCATTATGCACTGCTGCTGCAGGATTTTTTTATATGCTGCACACTGACCACAGACCCATTCTCTCACATGTGGGCCTACCATCTTTCTCCTGCTTGATCTGAACTTGCTAGAATTTATGAGTATATATACGTCAAAAACGGTGGCTCGTAAGATGTATATATATATGACCAAAACAGACAAAGGGTTAATGTTGCAGTTTTATAAACTGTAGTGCAAAGCATCCCTCTGGCAAGACTGTGATGGAGTGAATGATGATTAAAGTTTTTCTTTTTTGGGCCTCCCTGCCTTGGTGGGAATCAGCCGATGTGTTAATAAAGAAAAGATTAACTAATTCGTCCTTAACATTATTATCTATGTGTAGTGTATTCAGTGTATGATCCTACTACATTATTGTGGAAATCCTTGTATTATCTTTTACTAGCTAGTACCAACTACCTCATACAATATGTACTTTTTTAGTGCTATTACTTGCTTAAATTTTGTGCTAGAAGTCAAACCTTATTGTCTAAATTTGTTTTAGACCCTATTTACTATTTGTCCATATTATATTTGTATACTGAGGATCCACTGTACTATGATCAGAAAGATAATCAGCTGGAGATGTCGGTTGTAGGGAAAAGAATTTAGTCCAATGTGTACTTGTAAACACGGTGCCCAAAGGAAGTGGGTGTCGTGTAGGTCGTTTCTAGGTAGACATTGAAGAACCGTCATCAGTAGGTGGTTTGGAACATTTAGGAGTAGTAGTACAGCAGGCAGTCTGACCTGAGGGAGGTGGGCGATCCAAAAAAACCCCGCACTGTATTCGGGGAAGCCGGACGCATTGTTAAAGGCGTGCAAGAGGCACAGGCATTAGCAGAAATGGGTGGAGCCTCAGTACCTGGAGCAGGTGATGAAGTGTCACCAGCAGAAGGTACAGAGTCTAAAGAATGGTCCAATAACAAAGCCGGGTCAGAACAGGATGTGGGAACAGAAAGGGGCCTGGGAGGAGGAGGGTTATCACAGAACGAAGACTCCATGACAGTGGTGCTTCTTTCTTGTTATTTTAAAGAAAAAAAGAAAAAAAAAAGAGGGACAGCGGGAGGACAGCCATTAGAAGGCACTGAACGGCCACAAGTTCTCCCCCTCATCTGAGAGGGCCTCGAGCCCACTGGCAGTGGCAGCATGGAACCTGTGCCATACCCTACCCTTCACACTAATAAACCAGCGCTCCAGAATAACAACCTCACAGCTACCGAGCCACCTCGGCAGAAAAAAAGAAAGGGCAGTCGGAAACCCGCCACAAAACACACCTCCATCGGCTGTCACCTCCCAGAACCGACAGGCAGCCTCTGGAGATACACCCATCATCTGCAGGACACCCTGCCCACTTCTTGGAAATCCGGGAAGGGAGCAGGGCACCTCCAGACAATTCAGATTCCATGGCAAACTACACCACCCCCAAGGGACCCTATGGAGTGGGATGAACCCCAGCACACTTCCCCCTATCTAGAAATTGTAATGCCAGAGGGGAGGACCCCAGAGACTACAAATGAGATGGGAAATGGGAAGGGCTGGGAGGGGGAGGAAAGGGGGTAAAATGGGGAGGGGGGATGGGGAGGATGGGATAGGGAAGGAAGGATTGGGGGGGGTTACTTAGATATGGTCTGAGGAAGGAGACCAAAGGGTTTAATTCCTTAGACCAATATATTCTTTGCCAAGTCAAAGAGCCCCCTTGAAGAGGCAGGAAATGAAAAGTGCTACACAGTGAACACTAAAGTTATAAGAAAACATGATAACCATATTGCTGACAGGGAAAAATTTTAACTGGTGTGGATTGAAGATCAAACTATGTAGTCACAAAGTGCCTTTAAGCCAACCCATTGTCCAGTCCAAGGCTCTAAGTCTCTTCACTTCTATTAAGGCTGAGAGAGGCAAGGAAGCTGCTGAAGATAAATTTGAAGCTAGCAGAGGGTGATTTCATCTCCTGACTTCCTACAATACTACTCACCTCTCGCCCTACATTATGGCCAAAAATATTTAAAGTAATGAGTGTAATGTATATGCATTTTACTTTATTTTTTTAGGCCTAGTTCTATTGCTAACTTAATATTGATTGTGTAAACATTTTATGCATTTGTGTGTATAAAAAAAAAAAAGTGATTCGCTTTACAGTGGTAGCCTGGAACCTAACCAGCCAATATTCCAGTAATAAGAGTGGATGAATTAAGAGACTATATAAACTAAAGGGTTGTACAAAATCTATCAACCCTTTCAGGGTCCGTCCCGTAGATCTACGACTTTACGTTCAGGGTCCAAATCGTAGATCTACGGCTTTACGTTCAGGGTCCAAATCGTAGATCTACGCCATGAGCTCAGCTCACTCTGATAAACTGAGTGGTACATTTGGGCCTAGATATGAGAGAATACATCTATGTGGTATGTGTGCACCACATAAAACAAATCCTGCAGCACACTGTGTATAATGAGAGAAAAAAACCGAGACCATGATTTTCGATTAAAACAGCGACTTTGCAGTATTTTTTTGTATGTTTTTTATAGTTGTATTTGTGATTTCTTGGTCTCATTTGATAGAATGAAAGACATATTACAGAAATAGAGATTATTTTCATTAGTTTTAGCACTGGAAATGGCTTGAAACTGAGCTCAAAGTATCAGAAATGTTAAATTTTTGCCCATATTCAAGAGTAAACAAACGACCTCACACATCTAATACACACCAGCTGGTGGGTCTAATATACATTCACAAATGTGGTGATGATCTTTATACAATTATTACAATATTGCATAACAGTAAATCCTCTATTTTTTGGTGTGAATAAAAATTTATTATGTGAATAAAAAATCAAAATGGAATTTATTTGTAAAGCCTCAAAACATAACTAATGAACAGAGGAAATGTTAGTTTAGTGCCAGGAATACCTACATTGTTTATTCTGGACCCTATTTTGAAATTGGAATATTTTGAACTTTGTGTTAAATTGGCCAAATTACCAATTTCTGATCACTTTATTTTGTAGTTGAAACAGTTGACTTGGCAATTTATTGTGCTCAATCGGTAGAATAGAAGTAATACTAGTGAAATAGCTAAGAATTTGGTCGACTGGAATAATGTAATTGGCCTAAAATGGGAGTCAAAGTCAGCAAAATCGCCGATTCGTAAATATCGCTGACACATCAAAATTCGCGAGAGCATAATTTTGTCAATTTTCCATCAAATTTCATACTTTTTGTTTTATTACCTTCACAAAAAGATTCTCTACCATTTCATAAGAAAAAATAAAAATTTTTTTTTTTTAAATTCTTGGACACTGGGGCACCACTTCGGATTTTGGTCTTGGGCCCTGAAGGGGTTAACATTATTGTTTGTAAATTTAGCAATACTTTTTGAGAACACAACTATCACATATAGTGTAAAAGTGTAACATTAAGTTCACAGTGCAATACTGCAATAACCATGATGAATATAAAGAAATTTTAATCTTATGTTTCCTAAGAAGCAAAACATATTTTTGTCCTTGAAAACAAAATTTCACAATGTTAGGCAATATAAGGATGGCCAAAGAGAATCAAGTTAATAAACAACTAAAGCAAAAGTTTGCACAAAATATATTAAAGCTATTCATGGTTGTTGCAAAGAAGTATTTTCACTACACAAATAATCTTCTCTCACTAAGCAATAAAAAATATTTTAGACCAAAAAACTAAATGGCTTATAGTACCATAATTTATGTTTGAAATGTATCATACATATACATATATGTATCATACATATACTGAAGGCTGAACATGTTAAACTGTCCTGATAGTTTAGTAATGGCATAATATGGCCCATACCAGAATAAATAAGAGGGAGTACCACACTCAAAAAGACCCTTCAGGTGGATCTGTACATAATATTGGTAGCCCTCCATGTGAACATCTGTGTTATTCAAACTGAATATGGATTACAGAGAGGTGCTTAGTATGCTGCTTTTGGAGTTGGTACAAATTAGTGTGATGCAACTATGACTTTCTGCCGAGCATGGTGTTGACCTACAACAAAAAATCCTCCGATTGTATTCAGGGCAGTCTTTCCAACAAATTGATTTTAAAATCACACAGAGGGTCTGTTTCCCCACTTCAGTGCTCAAGCACTCTGATTCTCACATTCCTTTTGACAGCTACTTTTACTAAAAATTTTGGGTCCTGGTAGTAGGACTAAGTGGCTCATCCAACCTGAACAAGGAATACACTGTTTTGAAGTATGGTACATTAATTACTTTCTGTTCAGAGTGTGATGAAAAAATGCATGGAAACCACATATGCCATCATATACTTCTCTTCAAGGTGTATGAACTGTTTTCTGGAATGTTGCTCCTAGAACACAACCACAGAAAATGGACCTGCTAAATGTAATTCCGAGATGTTATTCCAAGGTGCCACATTTGAGTCTCAAAAAGTAATGTGTTCACTTCCCTGGTTGTACTGCATCTGCTCTCTCTCTCTCTCTCTCTCTCTTCCCCACTGAGGAGAATTTATTTGAAATTTGTGTGAATTACCCTTGCTCTTAGTATCCCATTAACATAACTGCCCTCTTTTCAGCTGCTATACTCCACTCTAGATTATACACTGAAAGCAACCGCCATTTTACCTTCATATGAGTCATACATATTATCTCTCTCTCTCTCAAAACATGAAATGACTTAGCTAATACTGTACAAAATACTTACATAAGCTTCCACCTGAGTTGTTGATCCAAGAGAAGCATGGCAAGTAAGAAAATACTGACAGGATTAATGACAAAAAGGAGTATAATTTTCAAGGTAGCCTTATACACTCAAACTCTCCAGTCTCATGCTGTGATCACTTAACACTTATTGAAGCACTCTATAATTAGCACTGATTATCCACCTACTTTTCTTAAGTTTCATTTATTATTACTTGGTATGCTACCTCTAAACAGAATGCCAACCACAGGATTTCATTCAAAATGAGCTCATTAAATTTCCCATGGCCAAACCTCTCCTCTTAATTTTTTTTATTAACACTGGTCATTCCCCACCAAGGCAGGGTGACCCAAAAAAAGAAGAAACACTTTCATCATTCACTCCATCACTATCACTTAACTACAGTTAAACTGCAACATCAACACCCCTTCTTCAGAGTTCAGGTACTGTACTTCCCACTGCCAGGACTCAAGTCTGGCTTGCCGGTTTCCCTGAATCCCTTCATAAAAGTTACCTTGCTCACACTCCAACATGAAGTCAAGTCATAAAAGCCATTTATCTCCACTCACTCCTAACATGCTCATGCAAGATTGCTTGAAGTCCAAGCCCCTTGCACACAAAACCTCCTTTACACCTTCCCTCCAACCTTTTCTTGGCCAACCCTTACCCAGCCTTCCTTCCACTATAGATTTATATGCTCTCAAAGTCATTCTATTTTGTTCCATCCTCTCTAAATGTCCAAACCACCTCAACAACCCATCCTTAGCCCTCTGGATAATACTTTTAGTAACCCCACATCTCCTAATTTCCAAACTATGGATTCTCTGCCTTATATTCACACCACATATTGCCCTCAGACATGACATTTCCACTGCCTTCGGCTTTCTCCTTGTTGCAACATTCAGCACCCATGCTTCACACGCATACAAGAGTGCTGGCACCACTATACTCTCATACATTCCCCTCTTTGCTTCCATGGATAACGTTCTTTGTCTCCACAGACTCCTCAGTGCTCCACTCACCTTTCTCCTCTCATCAAATCTATGAACACCTCGTCTTTCCTAGAAACATCTGCTGACAAGTCCACTCTCAAATATCTGAATACATTCACTTCCTCCATATTCCCTACCTCCAATCTGATATTTAATCTTTAATCACCTAAATGTTTTGTTATTCTCATCATTTTACTCTTTCCTATGTTCACTTTTAATTTCCTTCTTTTACATATCCTTCTAAACTTATCCACCAACCTCTACAAATTCTCTTCTAAATCTCCCCAAAACACACTGTCATCAGCAAAAGAGTAATTGACGACTCCCACTTTGTGTTAGATTCTTTATCTTTTAACCCATAATCAGTCCAACTGTATATATACGTTCACTACCCCAGTGCCCTGAATATTTTGAAAAATAATTTTTTTTTTATGAAAATAAAGAGCACATTTTTCTAAGTGTTATAGGATAAAAAAAAATATTAGGGTCAGTACTTACAGAGATATGAGGCCAAGAAGTTGGCACTGGATGCTCGTATGAGAGCAACATTGAGCCCTGTCGCTTGCAGAAGTGTTGCCGATATACCTTTTTTTCTATTTTTCATGTTATTTTATATAATTTTTATGCTCTGATAATTACAGTTTATAGCAGTTCTTGTCATTTCATAACCAATCTTTGTTCTGACAGTAGTATTAGGTACTGAAATTGTACTCAAATTAGTAAAGTTTGCCACAAACACACTGACAGGTAGACATTTACACCTGCCTTGGCTATTTACTATTGTCTTGGAATATATACAGAGTATTTGTAAGTCCCAGCAATGTTTTGGATATATGGAAGTATAGAAGAAGTATAGAAGAAGACGAAGACAAAAAGAAGAAAAGAATAATAATAATAATAATAATAATAATAATAATAATAATAATAATAATAGTACATAATAATAAGTTCCCTTGAAGCATATAAAACAAGCCTCAGTCCACCCCTGACAGTGAAGTGATAAGATGAGATAACACTAGATAAGAGTTGACATTTGATGAGCGTCAGCCCTCGTTTGTTTTCGCTGGTACACAAACATGTCTATCTGTCTATTTGTCTGTCTGTCAAGCTCCTTGTCTATCTGTCTATCCATCTAGCTCTCTGTCTCAGAGAGAGCCACAAGACTGCATCATCATGTTTACTCGTATCTTCAAGCAGAGTATAGCACTCTGGATTTTTTGGGGTTATCCTAGGTAATTTACACTATGTATACTTGTATTTATGTGTACCTGTGAGACAGAGACAGAGAGACAAAGATAGACAGAGACAGAGAGACAAAGATAGAGACAGACATAGACACAGACAAATGGAGGCAGGCTGCCAGCAGCTGGCCAGCCACGCAGCTGGCCGGCCAGCCAGCCAGCCAGCCAATCAGCCAGCCAGCCTGCTGAATAAGTATTCCCTTAAAAAATTGTTTCTCTTTATTTTGGGCATGGGTTTTATAAGACATTTCGAAAGGGGTTTTGTTAAAAAAAATTTTGCACAGGGGGGTTATTATCGGGGTTTTTTTGATATTTCCTCGCCAATTAAAGGCCACATCTACCTAAACCCCATTTAAAAACTGGGGGTTTCCAACATCATTTTTCCTTTTAAAAAAGGGGGAGATTTAATACTATATGAAATCAGGGGAATTTCCCAGGTGTTTGCCACAGAGGCCTTTTGGGGTTGGTAAAAATGGGGGGGCACCCTTTGGGTCACCCCCATGAAATTCAAAAAGGGGAAGGGGGTGGGGGGGAGTAAAACTCCAAATTTTCGTCAGTATTGCAGTTTTGGTAACTAAAGTTTAGCAATGAGAAAGTTTTAAAGGGGCCATAAAAATGAAACAGGAAAATTTTTTTCAACTTTATTAAACCCCTTTTTGGGTTTTGGGGCCCTGGGTAGTTTGGGTTAAAAAGCCCCGGGTTTGGGGGCCGTACTAATGTGCATAAATTTTTAAATGGCCTCAAATTTAAACAGGAAACAGTTTGGGACCCTAATTTTGGAGAAAGGTTCCTGGGCGCGTTTTTGCTGTACAAAAAAAAACAGGAACCCCGTGGTGCATTGTGGGAAACCCCTTTTACCTTGTTCAACCCTGTCTAGCCAATAAGAAACTCCCCACTCCTCAGCTAAAATTGGGGGGTTTATGTTCCCAAGTGACAGTTCAAACACAGATGGAAGTGTCAATGAAGATGAATTTTCAGGGTTTGAGGATTTTTTGCGACTGAAAGCAATGCCCGGGAAAACCTGAAGGAAGGAAAGGGAAGAAGGAAGGAAGAAGGTAGGAATGAAGGAAGAGATAAGAGGAAGGGGGGAAGGGAAGGAGGGAAGGAAGGTGGAAGGAAGGAAGTGGGAAGGAAGGAGGGGGGAAGGAAGGAAGGAGGAAGGGGGAAAGGGAAAGGGAAGGAGGGAAGGAGGAAGGAAGGAAGGAACCATCAACCTAGAAAACCCAAAAATTCAGACAGTGATTTATTTCCATGTGGGTTGGTGGGGGGGAGGAAGTTGACAGGCAGTGAGGGTGGTGAATGACAGTGTTATTTGTCAATGTTACACAATTATGCTGGTGACTCAGCATATTTATAAATCCACCCCCACACAACTACGAGCTTTACAGATGCTGTAGCAGTTCTGGGAATGTCCAGTGACTTTATACAGTAAAAGCCCCGCTTTAGGCATTTCACTTTACGGCGTTCCGCTAATACGGTCATTCAAATTATGACCAAAACTCGCTATATGGCTCCCCCCCCTGACTTTCTAATACGGTCACCGCCCCCCCGCCCGGTTTGTTTACTTCTCTGTGAGATCCGTAAGCACTAATTTCTCTCCATTTTGTCTGGAAACTCCAAAATTTCAAGTGTTTTTAAAGTTATTTAATATTTTATACATACTCTGATAATTATACTTATGTATACCTGTACCAAAATAAACTTGCACACTGTGCTGGCATGCAGGTACACTTTAAAATCAGTAAGACTGTCTTATGTCCCCCAGACTTTCATATTAGTGATGATAAAAATAATCATCGAGTCTCATCAAATGTCGTATACAGTGGACCCTTGGCCAACGATGGCATCGTTTAAAACGATAAATCCGACTAGCGATACATTTTAACGCAAAAATTTTGCCTCGACAAAGCCAAAAAAACTCGACCAACCACTATTCGTTCCGTCTGAGACGCGCCCACTTCTGGCCAGTGTTTACAAGCCAGCCAGCCACCCGCGGTCGCTTCCAAACATACAATCGGAACATTTCATATTATCACAGCCTTTTTAGTGATTGCACCTGCAAAATAATCACCATGGGCCCCAAGAAAGCTTCTAGTGCAAACCCTACAGCAAAAGGGTGAGAATTACTATGGATATGAAGAAAGAGATCATTGCTAAGTATGAAAGGGGATTTGCATGTCTCCGAGCTGGCCAGGTTGAAACACAAAACCCCAATCAACCATCGCTACTATTGTGGGAAAGAAAACGGAAATCAAGGAAGCTGTTCTTGCCAAAGGTGTAACTATGTTTTCGAAACTGAGATTGCAAGTACTCGAAGATGTTGAGAGACTGTTATAGGTGTGGATAAACGAAAAACAGATAGCAGGAGATAGCATCTCTCAAGCGATCATATGTGAAAAGGCTAGGAAGTTGCATGATGATTTAATTAAAAAAAATGCCAGCAACTAGTGGTGATGTGAGTGAATTTAAGGCAGCAAAGGTTGGTTTGAGAGATTTAAAGGGAAGGGAAGTAACCCCGGAAAAAGACTTGCCACCTCAAGTCCTAATGGAAGGGGATTCCCCTTCTAAACACTAAGACCATCAACACTCTCCCCTCCTCCCATCCCATCAATCATCACCAGATCTTCAATAAAGGTAAGGTGTCATGTAACTGTGCATGTCTTCTTCAGTTTGTGTGTATTAAAATTAATATTTCATGTGGTAAAAACAATTTTTTTTTCATACTTTGGGGTGTCCTACACGGATCAATTTGATTTCCATTATTTCTTATGGGGAAAATTAACTTGACTAACGATAATTTTGACTAACGATGAGCTCTCAGGAACGGATTAATAGCGTTAGTCGAGGGCCCACTGTATTACGTTAATAAACGCATTTTCATTAATCCATCTGTGATATTTTTTTCAAAATTATATAATAAACACGATGCATAACATATAAATATGATAAATACACCCCACAGCAGAATAAATAAACATAAATATGAGATGTGGTAGCAGACGACTTGCACAAATGACGCCATACTAGAAATGATGATAATAATTACTCACCGAGTCTCAATAAATGTCGTATATTACGTTAATATACACATTTTCATTAATCCATCCATGATATTTATTTCAAAATTATATAATAAACTCGATACATAACAATAAAGATGATAAATACACTCCACAATAAAATAAATAAACATAAATATGAGATGAGTAGCCAGATAACTTGTACAAGTGACGGCAAGAATAGCATTTTCTCTAATCTAACATAAGAGAAAATGTGTTACTGGAGGTAACTGTAGAAAATTATTCCTTTCGTATGAAAGTTTATTCTGGTATACACAAATAGTTACATAGATTATCATACATAGTAGCATATGTGTAGAGAACCTGGGATAACCCAAAAAAGTCAGTGACTTATTTCCACTGCCTTCACTCAGAGCATCATTTCTTCTCAAAATGATGTTACATGAGAATGGGAGTGTTCTTCTTTATTTATTCTACCGTATCAATGTAGAGACAACTTGTACACAATGTAATTTGTACACAAACCAGATGTGTACATTTTTTTTGTTTAAAAAACTTACGTTCGCCTGGTTTGTTTACATAACTCTGCACCAGTCCTCTCTCATGCACTCATTCTCTCTCTCTCATTTATTCATTTTATCTCATTTACTTACTCCTGACCCTACATTAAGACTACAAATATTTTAACCCTTTGACTGTTTACGACATAAAAATACGTCTTACGAGCCAATGTTTCTGACATATTTATACACACAAATTCTAGCGGCTTCAAATCAAGCGGGAAAGGCCTGGTAGGCCTACATGAGAGAATGGGTCTCAGTGGTCAGTGTGCACCCTGTGAAAAAAATCTGGGACCCAGCGGTGCATTGTGGGAACGCCATCTTGTTAGTCCATTTTCACCATGCCTCTCGGTAAGAAGTTCCTCACTCCTCGGCGGATTGGAGGTCTTTTGTTCCCAAGTGATAGCTCTAACAGTGATGAAAATGTCAGTGACAGTGAATTCCAGGGTTTTGAAGTGAGTGTTACCAGAAAAAGTGCCCAGGATAACGTAATTAGTGATGAAAACCCAGATGACCCACAACTTCCACCTCTGTGCTGGCCCGGGTTGTTCACGTTCACGTTCGCCTGTACCAGGATGAAAGAGGAAACTATCTGGTCGTGTACAACACCCAGATGTTAGCAGTGAATGTGATAGTGATAGTGATTTCAAGGTCATTGAAAGCAGTTCTAGTGACAGTGAGGGTGAATATTCCCCAGTGAAGCGGCAGTATGTACGACGTAGCATGCGGTCTGGTAGTGTTTCATATGTTGTTCCAAGGGGAAGGAGAAACTCTGGGAGCACATCCCGTGGCCCTACACCACGACCTGATAGTGAAGATGACGATATTGTAACGATGGGTATGAATGATGTGAGTGAGGGAGCAGGCAGTGGTAGTGATAGTGAGGGTGGCACGGCCCATGTGGCACCCGACCCCACACTCCCACAACCTGCACAACCACAACCACAGTACAATATCCAGACCCCACCAGCAGACCGCATAGGGAAATTTGGCAGGACGGTGACGAGTTTGTTCCCCTCCCCATGACTTTGATGAAACACAAAGTGGAATAAAGCCATCATGTCCACTTGGGAACAATGCCAGTGAACTGGACTGCTTTGAGTTATTCTTCGATGAACCCCTGATGGACATCGTTGTCAGGGAAACAAACACATACTGTGATTACACAATGGAAAAAACAATACTCCACCAAAATCACGGCTACACAAGTGGGAAGGAGACAACTGTAGCAGAGATGTACCTGTTTTTTTGCCACAAAAAATGCTTATGCCACATGTGTAAAGCACACTGCACCACATACTGGGCAACAGAACGCCTGATTTCAAATCCAGGTTTTAGTGACATTAAAAGGGGTCAAACGTTTCCTGATACGTTTCTATGTTACACTTTTCAGACAAAACCAGGCCTGACAGAAGCAACAGGTTATATAAGATAAGAAATGTGTTTAAGTACCTGAAACAAAAGTGTTTCATGATTTTATCCCTTCAGGAAGCTTTTTATTGATGAGTCCTTGATTTTTATTCAAAGGAAGACTCTCATTCAGCAATATATACCAAGCAAGAGGAAACGCTTTGGTGTAAAGCTATTTGTACTGTGTGATTGCAGAAGTGGTC